TCCCGCCCGAGGCGACAGATTCGAGAAGAAGAAGAAGAAGAAAAAATTCTGCTAGATCTGTTTGCCGGGTGGGGGGAGGAGAGAGGAGGGGAGGAGGGGGAGGGGGCCAAGCCCAAGGCCAAGACGAAGGGCCCGGAGGGGTGGGAAACACAGAGACACAGAAACACTGTGTGCGAGGCATCGGAATGTCAGTCAGGACTCCTCCTCACGTGGCGAGACCGTTCTCAGCTCCCCACGCCACCAGCACTAAGATGAACATGGATTTGGAAGCGGGCACTGTATTGCAGAGGGCAACATGGGAGTTGAAGTGTGAGCGTGGGAGCGTGGGAGTGTGTAAGCCTCACTATCTTTCCTCCCGAGTTCCGGCCCGGCAACAATACTCACGCTGTCATACTTGCTTTTCCCTTCTGTTCTCCTCTAGTCATCGTCCCGTCTTTTCGTCTGGTTCCAAGACACATGAGCAGAAAGAAAAAAGTCCTTCCTTTTCTCCTGAAGAGTTCGGGCCAGGGGGTCTAACGCTGGGACCCAATGCCAGCTAGTGGTGGCATATGTCAGTCTCTTGTCTTGAATGGCCTGGCCGCACTGGCTTTCCTGTCTGATTTCCGGCCCTTTGTGTCAAAGCGGACGGCCTAGCGCAGGTCGTCTCTGGGGTTAACTGCTCTAGCGTGGACTTGGTGCTTGGAACCTCCCTTGTACCTGGCACTACGGCTTCCTGATCCTCCAATGTAGACGCCGTGTTTGTCTCTCTTGGGTACAATCACGATTCATGGCTCCGAGCCGGGACAATGCCTGCTTCTCCCAATGAGCCCCATTTGGCGTGGTTGGTGGCTTGCCGCTTGATTCTTGTCTCTATCGATGGCCACAGACTAGGCCTCGACCTGTCCGAGAGCTCTTCGGAGGAGGAGGAACCTTGGCTGGGACAAGCAATCACCCAGGTGAGGTTCAGCTTTGCCCACCGCGGCGAAACTTACAGATAAACAGCTGAGCTCCCACGTTGCTCCATGAGCGGGGAGAGAAAGGGATCTGTTTCTTCATCTTCATTCCGCCTTCATCAGTAGCATCGATCTGACCATATAGTGTCGTGTGCGGATCATCATACAAGGCTACCCTCGATAACAACCCCAGAGCCACTGCGTCCAACATCGCCGTCTGATAACAACCCCTCATGTCTTTACAGCCCTACGCGGCACCAAGACGAGGTACCATGACCGCCGCCATGTATGGCAAGCCAAAGGCCAAGGAGTCCGTCCTGGACCTCTGCACGAGGGCCACCCTCCTCGGAAACAACATCTCGGTGCGCATGCTCGAGTTCCTCACCAACGTCAAGCACCAACCGCACGGCTTCAGGGAGCTCGCCAATGACTTCCTCGACATCTGCCGGATACTATGGTCCATCGAGGCCGGCCTCTCCGAGGCTGCTCGCACCCACCAAGAGTTCCCCGCCGACATGATCAAGGAGCTCGACATGAAGTTCCGCTCGACCAACTCCGACTTCCAGGTCCTCGACCACATGATGTTCGAGTTCCTCGAGTACGAGAAGAAGGGTGCCATGGGCAGGATTCAGCGCGGCTGGCGCATGATGTTTGCCGACAAGGAGATCTTGAGGATGAGGGAGTCGATACGCAAGGCAAGGGACGCGCTGAGGATGAGTGCTCTCGTCTTCCAGTGGTCTCTTGGAAACTCAAAGACGGACGATGCTGTTGGTAACGGCTATGCTGGCCTCGCTGCTGCATTGGACCGCATCAGCAACCACAACTCGACGGTGCGGATATCAAAGTCCAAGTCCTTCGAAGTCCAGCCGACAGCACTACCGGATCGCTCAGACGAGAGATCTCCTCCCCTCCCTCCCCTTCCCGCTCTTCCCTCTCAAGCACCCCACATCCCTCCCCCTTCCTTGGTAGAAAAGATGTCCGCAGACTTCGTTCTTCAAGAGGTGAGGCTATCACCAGACCCACGTCGCCGCACATCCATCTCCAACAGGAGTCACCACAGCTCCTCAGAGAATGGACACTCGACCAGAATCCCCGACCGCAGAATCGGTCGCGACGACATCACAATCTCAGAGCACGGTCACTACGACCTCCACCCCGTCAGTACAAGAATCAACACGGACAGGAGATCAGCACGGGATGACATGACCATCTCGGATCGTGGTGGTGGAATGTCAGACCGCGGCATGTCAGACCGTGGCATGTCGGATCGCGATACATATGACGCACCCAGCCGCATTTCAGACAGGAGGAACCTGCGCGACTCGGACAACACCATTTCACCCTCAACATCCGGCACAGAGACGCTGATCGGCGAGCTTCAGAACATCGCCGACAGTATCCCGACCAAGGTTGTTCGCCTCAAGGCCGACCCCATGACGATGCCTCGCTGGACACCTCGTCACAACGCCGATGGCAACCCGTCGCTCAAGACCTCCCTCATTGCCGCTGTACAAGGCAAGAACCACAAGCTCGTCGAGCAGCTCTTGGACCGCGGTGTCTCACCCGACACTGGCCCGGACCAGCACGTCCTCGTGGACTCCGTCCTGTGCCAAGATCACGAGGCAGTCCGCCTGCTTCTGCTCTTCGGTGCCGATCCCAACTCTGCCGACAAGGATGGCATCACTCCCCTCTTTGCAGCGGTAGAGATGAACTCCCTCGACATCACGAAGATGCTTTTGAAGTATGGTGCGGACCCCAACATGTCCGCTGGACCTTCACAGGAGTCCCCGCTTGCCATCGCCGTTATCGATGTCAAGATCGACTTTGTCCACATCCTCCTCACATATGGTGGTGACCCCAACCACATCATGGCCAACGGTAACACCGTCCTGATCGCTTCCATGAACAAGTCGACACCAAAGAAGCTGGTCGACCTCATGCTCGACTACGGCTCCGACCCCAATGTTAAGAACAGGGAGGGTAAGACTGCTCTGTTCGAGACCATCATGGCTGCGAGAGTGGATCTCCTCACTGCTCTCTTGGACCATGGCGCCAACCCCAACCTGCCCGGTCCTAAGCACATGCTTTGGCCCGCAACCTACCAGGCACCTTGCTTGAAGGTTCTTCTGGCCCGTGGTGCTGACAACAAGCGTGCACCTGGTAACATGGAGCTCGCTGTCAGTATCAACAACATCGAGTCTGTTCGCGTCCTGCTTTCTGCCGGGGTCTCACCCAATATCAAGAAGGATGGTATCTACACACCGTTGTGCACATCCATCCGCGACAACCGCGCAGACATTTTTGAGCTTCTCTTGACCAGCGGTGCCGACCCCAACCTCAACTCCGCCGAGTACCCCGCGTTCAAGTGTGTCACGCACTTTCGCACACACTTCCTTCCTCGCCTGGTCGCCGCCGGCAACGACCTCCACAACCCCAAGGGCATCATCGAGATGGCTGTCAGGGTCAATAACATGGAGGCCCTCAACTGGCTTCTTGACCAGGGTGTCAGCCCCAACGACAAGGGCGATGACGGCAACACTCCTCTGACGACCGCCATTAAAGAAGGCCGCATGGAGATGCTCGACGAGCTGATCGCCCACGGTGCGGACCCCAACGTCCGCGGCAGCGACTGGCCCATCGTCATGTCCGTCAATTACCCCGAAGTTCTCGAGAAGCTCCTCCCCGCCGTCCCCGACATCCGCTCCTTCAAGGGTTTGATGGAGCGCGCCGTCGTCGCCAACCAACTCACGAGCGTCAAGCTCCTCCTCAAGGCCGGTGTGTCCGTCGAGGACAAGAACGGCGGCGTCTTCTCGCCCTTGACCTCTGCCATTCGCGAGGATAACAAGGAGATCACTAAGTTCCTTATCGAGGAGGGTGGCGCTGACATCAACGCCCCCGGTGAGCACTTGCCCATCGTCAAGGCGGTGCGCCGGTGCCGCGGCGATGACACGGACATCCTTGAGCTGTTGCTCCGCCATGGCGCCGACGTCAACAAGATCTACCGTGGATGGAACGCCATCTTCCAGGCCGTCGAGAACGGCGACGCCAAGGTCCTCAAGCTTCTCGTCGAGGCTGGCGGTGTCGACCTCGACGCCAAGGACGATGCTGGCCGCACCGTCATGGAGATCGCGGCCGGTCGCGGTTGGGAGGAGTCTGTCGGTATCATCCTCTGGGATGGCAAGAACAAGTCGTGATTATCCCAACGCGTCTTGTCCTGAAACTTTCTTTTCTTACTGTCTCTCTCACGTGTAACTGAATCAACGCCGAGGAATGGCGCAACTTTCTACTTTCTTTTGTAATGTCCATGTACGAGATACGGAGGATGGGGTGGGTAACTGAAGTTTTCTCATGTAACATGGCGGGGCTCTATGATATCAGATTGATTTGTTCTTCTAATGCGCCTCGATATCATCTGTCTTTCTTCACTTCTATACCTCCCTGTTTAGACTCTGGATCTTTCAATACCTGATCACCTAATTGAATCTCAATACCACTTCAACATGATCTCCACACATGGCACTCGTGAATAAGACCCCATCCCGGAGTAACTTGACCTAGTTCAGGACCAATCGTGTCTAAGACAGTCCATCTCTAATGAATTCTTTACCTGCCTAGGTCAAGCATTTTACACGGAGTCTGCCCTCCATCACCCACCCACCATCAAACCACAGCAAAAGATCATCTCCCAAGGTCAACATGCAAAAGATATGCCTCGTGGCGGAATCGAACCGCCGATCTTCTCATGTCACTAGTACTAGTGAGACGCTATACCACTTAGCCAACAAGGCTGATCGGACTGCATCGCTCGTATGCTTGCTGGCAGGGCGAGAGAATGCAGGTTCATTTCTCGAGATTGCTTGCGTTGTGGGCTGCAGATGGGTAGGCGGGTGCTTTTGTCCCACTAACCCACTTGGTTCACGATGGAGACATCTGAGGGGCAAGCCGCAAGGGTTCAAGTTTGTGGTCGGCCACAACTTATTGGCCTCCATGAGCTAGGTCCCTGAGCTGGAAGCGGTTTCCGTGATACGGATAGAAATATATGCAGGCTGGGTTGGATGAAAATCGCTCATTGTCCACATATGTGAAATTTCATATATTGTTCTATCTGGGGAAAAGGAGTGTACGCAAATTCAATGCTTCGAGAGAAGGAAGATCGTGTATGTGATGGTCTACGGTTGATGAATCAAGTTTCCTTCGCTACCGTGGCCACTTCCTACGAACGAGAAAGCTAGTGCTTGCTTTGATATAAGTCGAACCTAGCCTATTTACCCAATCAACATTAGCACAAGTGTCTAGAATTATGATATCAGGATCACTACATACCGACATCTCTATCTTGGCGAGCAAATTTCATTGAAAAAGATGCTATTTTCAAGCCAATGCTGAAGCCCTGGCGACAGCAGCTTTGGGAAGTTGACATTTTGGGCATGTCGTAGCAGCCGATGGTGGCGAGGTCGCAGGACACTGGCACATCTTGGAGGGATCCGAGAGCGCGGTGATGACCGAAACTGGAATGATGGGGCCAGGCATGTTGATTGTCGAGTGTTTGTGAGCGGTGGATGATCTGGGAGGAGATTTATGGAAACAAGGATGAGCTATCTGAAGATCTTGGTATTCAAGTGAAGTTGTGCTGCTTGATGCTGTCGAGATCTAACTTAAAGAGCTACTGTCATCGTATTTATACCGATTATAGACAGTCACCAGCTCTCGTCGTTACCTGAGGTGAAGGTCTACGATATGATTAGTCGTCAAACCACATTCTTACCGAGATGATAAGCAGGACTTGGAAAAGGGGGTCGACGACATGAGACTTCGCTTTTGGGAAATAATCGAGAGCAACAGGGGTCATCAGCCCTACAGGGCAGCGGGCTTGCAGCTTGCTACACCGAGACACGATGTATCCGTAGCTTCGATTCGATGAATCCTTCTCATACGGGCTGCCGCCGCTAGTAAAGGCAGTCATCAAGGTGAGTCGTACAGCCTGACCCACGTAAAAGGTCAACAAAGTCCTACTTGATGGGAAGTTGCTTGTTGCCATTGGCCCAAGAACAGCGAAACTGACTGATAGAAGACAGGATAGGTTGATATTGATTTCAGACTCTCAGTCGGGCCGTTTATACGAGGTCGGCTGCCGAGGCTAGCTTTTGAGCTTGGTACATCGTCAGAAGATTTGGATTCTTTTCGCATGTTGAAAAAGATGAATATCTTCATTAAGAGCGAATCATAGAGACAAGCAAGCAATTCTGCACCAAGACCGCGCCGCAAAAGTGGATGATTCTCGTTCCTGAAGTTTAATTAGCTTGAAACGTTTCTTCTACAGAGTCTTATTCGACGATGCACCTTGTTCTGTGGCAAAAACCGAATTGCTAAGCTCACGAAGATATAATCCTCGTCGATTGCCGTTTTGGGCAAATCTACGTTGAGCCGCAGGCTGAGGGCCAAGAGAAAAGAGACCAGTTTCCCGAATAGGAAATTGTACGTCGCATAGGCACAACCGAGGCGACATGGCCAATTGCGCATTTTGATTCGTTCCCGAAGAGAAAAGCATCCCTTGAGGACTCAGGAGGCTGATTTAAGCGTCTTACTCATTGTCCACAGACCCGGGCGTGGGGGCGAAAATAATTCAGTCTGACAGATTACAGGGCCAGGCAAGCCAGGCACCCGGTGTGGTCTGTCGTGCCACAGGGTTGCCTTTGCTGACACAAATAGGGCTGAGCTGAGATTTATCACGGGGCAGAATGTGCTGCAAAGATCGATCATGCACGATGAATTTCCTGAACGGGAAATAGAGATGCTGGCTATGCCGAGGCCGTTCGTGAGGCCCTAAAGAAGCAGGAGATTCGGCCGAACGCGAGCGTGGGGGAAAGCGGGAGGCCGGAGGGGGGTTATTTTTTAGACACTTTTGTTGGCCATGCTATCTAAGTTATTCGAGGCCGCCAGAGCTTCAATTCCCTCTGCCGTACTAGGAAGCTGTGGATTTACAGCAAAAATTAGAGAAAGTTCACTTTATGCCTCCTGAAGGCTCTCCGATGGCTGCGTTCTTCAAATGTCGTATTTCGCAGATGTGGAATCGTTCTAGATCCATCCAGTTGCGAGATACCAGACTCGTGGAAGGATGGAAGCCTCAAGTCTCGGACTCTGGAAGCCACCTCCACACGCCAGCGAGCCTCAAGAAGACTAAACACGGAGGGCTGAGACATTTCTGCGAAGACCTTTTTTCCTTCGTATTCCGGCCATTCATGAATGACTGTTCACTGCAATGCACTCATCAGAGGTGTTACCATGTGGCAGAAGTGCATACACTCCGCACGTAAGGCAGTCAGGTACCTAGGTGAGGTGGTGAGAGAGCCCCTCATTCAAGATGGTCAACTCCAACCTTGGTCACAGCATCGCAGTAGTCAGCATCCCCTTCATTCTCACATACATCAATGTTTCGCCCACGGACATGTGTGCTACAAGACTCTCTGCCTTCATCACAGCATTCTAGCCAACGTTTGAGGCCTTCGCGAGGACGCTCGCGTCGCCTCGCTGTCTCAGCCACGCGTCTCCGTAGGACTAACCCCCAACAATGATGGTTGCGGAAGTCAGACGTCCGACAGACGAACTCTTACAACTGACTCTGTAGATATCTCGAGAAATGACTCGAAGTGAGTTTCTCCAAGCTACGGCCGCCAAAGCTTCCCATCTGATATATTGCCTTGTGACCCCCCGACGGAGCAATCCGCCGGGGCCGTACCATGTATTACGTATTGGGGAAACCTGGGTATATTGCGCTCCATACCTAAGCAGCTGAAAAGGGCAGCTTGCCCATCCCGAATTGCATGGCGGTTTTCGTATCGAAATCACCCTATTGAGTTGAGCGCGTGCTTGGGGCACATTGCGCGTATCGTGTAGCTCAAAAGTGTACCGTATCGTGTGATTTCCCTTGAAAGCCTGATCCCGTTAAGGTCGATCTTTTGCGCCTGTAAAGCCGGAAACAAACCACCACATATTGCCTTGTGAGACCGTGATGTAGGAGGTGCGGGCATGACATCCCCGCACTGCAATGCAAGCCAGGGACTCATGTCTACGAGGAGGCTGATTCCTTATTTTCCTGCTGGATAGAGGAGCTCTTTGAATTCATGGCAGACACCGAAGCCCTGCAAGGAGAGCTCACAATGGGCTTGTTGTGGAGTCCTCTGACTGGAGTCCTCCTTAAACAAGCTAGTCACTGTATCGGATATCAGCACATCCCCGATAGTCTAGTGGTGAGGATATCTGCTTGTCATTGAAGATTCAACGATTCGCAGGGGACCGGGGTTCAATTCCCCGTCGAGGAGTCCTTCTTTTGCCATTTTGCATATCACTGATCTTTTTCTCTTTGTTCTACAAGTTTTCCATCATTTGTCCGGTGTTGTGAAAGAGAATGCATCAAATTGCGCGTGTGGTGTAAATCAGAGTGATGGGAGGCATTGCATCAACTGAGTAGGTACGTACTTTTGCGACCAACAGTTTGCGTGGGTATCCAGTTGCATCTTCGTCCGTTCTACAACTTCAAGCCCGGAAACCCTCCTGGCCCCCCGTCTTTGCAACAAGAAGTGATAGTCCTGTATGGGATTATGTAGAACAGCCGGTCAGATCCTTCGTCCGTATGAGGAAGGTACACTCTCGCGCACTGATCGCTACAATCAGGGATGCTTCCATCATCCATCGCCGACTCCGCACCGGCAAACTGCTCCGATGCGCTTATCGGCCACGGCAACGTCGTCCGACTCCTCTTAGTTCTCATCGTTGAGTCGTCGACAAAACATTGAGGCTCGAAGAATCTGCTCTGCTCTTCGCTCCCACAGTGCATCCCAGCGTGCCCTTGGTCCAGCACTGCCAGTATGACTTTTCGCAAAGCTCCCGCCCTCGCCGGCCCCGTCATGGAGCTTCCCCGGCGCACTTCGCCGCGGTGGGAGGCAGACGCCGAAGATGCCATCCCGGAGAAGCTCATCAAGCCATGGAAGCTCCCTCAGCAAAACACCTACCTCTTTGTCAACGCAAACGTCGTGGATACCGCCAAGGGCCTCGTCATTAAGAACACGACCGTCAAGATCTCAAACGGCTTGATTGAGAGCGTTGGGGGGCGCTCAGCCAGCAGTACAGGCAACGATGCCATTGTGGTAGATCTTCAAGGAAAATACCTCTCCCCGGGTCTCATCGACTGTCACGTCCACGTCAGCTCCGTACCCGGCGAGGCCGGGCTCAACGGCGGCTTCAGCATGGACGCCACCGTCTCTCATCTGCGGCAATCCTTTGTATGCGGTCGCATCCTAAGCAAGGGCTTCACTACGGTCCGCGACACCGGCGGTGCAACTCTCGCGCTGAAGGAGGCAATTCAGGACGGTGTCTTCCCCGGGCCCCGCCTGTTCATCGCCAACCAGGCACTTTCGCAGACGGGAGGTCACGGCGATCGCAGAGGTGCCCACGACCACTCGGGGCTGTGCTGCGGCGGCTCATCGGGGCTCTCTAACGTCGTGGACGGCGTGCCGGAGTGTATCAGGGCGACAAGAGAGCAGCTGAGGACGGGGGCGGACTTTATCAAAATCATGGTCGGCGGCGGCGTCGCGTCGCCGACGGACAGGATCGAGAACACGCAGTTTACGGCGGACGAGATCAAGGCCATCAGCGAGGTCGCGCGGAGCTATGGTACCTGGGTTACGGCTCACGCTTATACGCCGCGGGCGATCCGCCACGCGGTCGAGAACGGCGTGACGGGTATCGAGCACGGCAACTTCATCGACAAAGAGACGGCAGAGTTCATGGCTGGGAACGCCGTGTGGTTGACGCCTACGCTGGTCACGTACGACGCCATGGGCTCCGACAAGTACAAGGGATTCTTGCCCCCCGAGAACCAGCGCAAAAACCAGGAGGTCCTGGAAAGGGGCCTCGAGTCGTTGAAGATTGCAGCCGCGGCCGGCGTCACCATTTGTCATGGATCGGATCTGCTCGGCCCCCTGCAGGCTGAGCAAAGCAGGGAGTTTGGTATCCGCCAGCAGGCTCTCAGCAACAAGCAGGTGCTTCAATCTGCCACGGTGAACGCCGCCAGGATGCTTCGACAGGAGAATGTACTGGGGCAGGTGAAGGAGAAATTCGTGGCGGACTTGCTGATTCTCAATGGGAATCCGCTGGACGACGTCTCGATACTGGATGAGCCGGAGAAGAACGTCTTGGCGGTGATCAAGGATGGCAGGGTCTACACGAGCCGATGGAGCAAGCTTCCAGAAGATGTGAAGGCGCCACAGAGATTGATTGAATGAGCACAAGCAACAAGCTGCATCAGGAACGTTTTCATGATCGAAAAGAGAATTCAATCCAAGAAGCGAAGATCATCGTCGCTTGTGTGAAATCGTTGGTCAAAGTCAGGACATGGTCGCAAGGCGAATTTCCGGTCGCCACACACCGTGTGAAAAGGAAGAGAAGTCGAGAACATTGAGGCTTGGTGATCTATAATGTTCATATACTAATCTATGTCTGGAACACTACTGCTTCTGCTATACGTGACCTTGCTGGGCATAGTTGGTGCTGAATCACTCTGCTCGGCCTCCCGAAGATGCTGCTGCGAGAGATTTTCCACAAGAACGAATCCGTCACTCTGGCGTTCGCTTCTCCTATTTGAGAGACCATCGGATTTGCCATTCGAGCTGTAGTAGTTTGCCGTACCCTTGGTTGAGTACGAGGAACGGCCCAGCAGAGGTCGGAGAAAGGGGATGCACGCGAGGGTGATGCCGACGCCGGGCTCTAGCGCGCTGAAGATAAGGGCGTTAGGGATGTTGAAGGTCACGTCGAGGTACACGAGATTGGCAAGGTAGTAGAGACGCAGAGCCGACACGATGCACGTACTACATTGGCAACATGGTCAGCATATTCTCATATCCAGCGTCTGGGAGCATGACTTACAAGACTCCGAGCGAGAAGGTGACGATCAGTGCGGCCTTCTTGTACATCTCCAGCCGAAGACTCCACAAGTGAGAAATCGGCATGACGAGGACGATAATGTCGGTAATCATGTTCAGCACCCCCATCGTGCCGTCTGCCGCGGGCTGGTTCCCGCAGTGTCGATTCTTGATATCGAGAAGCCAGTTGTCCGAGAGGGGGATGCAGATGAAGAAGGCAATCAGCACTGTGACCATGACCCACATCATGGTGAAGGCGGCCAGTATTCGCGCCGACAAGATCATGAACCTGGTGCTGAAGAGCTTGGAGTAGAGGAGGAGGATGGAGATCTTGCAGAGACTGAGGCTGATGGCCCACAGGATCTGTTGCGCGACGAGGACCTGGAGGAAGATGCATCAACAACTACTCCGAGCTTCTTCGACGTGAGAATTGGTACGAACCTTGAGAAACTTGATGATTGGTCCGACCCCATACTTGGGTATGATGACGGCATTGTGAAGGCCAACACCGCATTGCATCACAGCGACTATGGAAATTGCTTGCAAGGCATTGGAGAAGACCTGGCAGAGAAAAGTGAGTTGAAGCCCTCATCTCAACGCGCCGGAAGACAATCCCATTGTCGGCGTGATGAATAACTTACGAGTCCTGCAATAATAGACCAATCACTCAAATCCATATCTCTATGCGCCATGCGCCTGGCGATGAGGCGGAGGATCACCATCAACGTCGGAACGATGATGAAGACGACAGACACCGCAACCACAGAAATCTGGCCCGGTTCCTCCAGCGGGAATATCACCACCTTGTCTCCCATCGTCGGCGTCTTCGGTGCTGATGCCGCCATATTGTCGTCCCGGTAGGTTGCGATGGGAGAAAGAGACCTTGACCTTGTCGTCCACAATTCGAGTGGATTATGCGGGAAGCGGAGGTGGGACGAACATTCAAAGGTCCAAGCATCCAATCCATGAGAGCAAGACGCTTCATTTTTGAACCTCTCCAGGTCTGTCCCTCTCCCCCAGTTCCCAACGGCCCGAGAACTGGAACCCAGAACCTAGACCACAGATCTTTTTCTGCTCGTTTCTTTTTGGGGCGGGACACATCAGGTCACCCAATAGCCCCCGAAGCGGTGGTTTTGTTTGCTTTTTCCTCTCCCACTGTGGCCACCAGAATGGCAACCTGCATACCTTATCGACCGCAGTGCAGACGCTGTGCAGTTGTGACAGGGATCTGGACAGCCCAGCGTATCTGGAAGAGGAAAGGATAAAAATACTGGTGTGGCCACCTTTGCTGCCATGCGATCAGAGGTCGAGGGTAACAGCAGAAATGCCCAGGCTTTTTCTTCCACTTCGTGAGAAACAGGCACTGCCAAGGACACAGGCTAACAAATGGGCTGGAGGTGTGATGACTGCGCTGCGTCGTACTTTAGTGGTATGAAAAAGTGGATGCCTACAAATGAAATGATGCAAATGGGCGATGCTGACTTTGTGAATATGATAGAAATCATGGGGAAAAATACGACGTCTTCGCTTTTGCTCGAGATTCATCGGCTATGGCAGATGCTCTCAATGACTTTCTCGTATGGGATGTAGACCATGGGAGTGTTTCCGATGATTTGTCTGAATTCGAAAATTACCCGAAGGACAAGGCCCTCATCTCATGGAACTGGCTATGGCTCCCGCAAAGTCCAAGGATCCTCGTGTCAGCCTGCCTAAAGAAGCCTGTCGTGTTACGGCAATCCAAGATCTCTACCCCGGTGCCCTCAAGAGCACAGATACAGATCGCGGTCATCTCTACACGTACCGGGTTCGCGAGGAGATCCAGGTCAATTCCATCATAAAGGCATGGGTCGACGAACGAACCAGACGTGGCGTCGGGCGGAAGCGACCCCCCCTCGACGGCAGAAGGCCAGCCCTTTGACCACGGACGCAGGGAAGATGAAGACATGGATCCCCTCTTGCTAACCGAGAATCCTTCTTTTCTTTTTTCCTCCTTCGCTGCCTTTGATCACACATGCTTTCCCCGTTTTCCCGTTCCTGCATGGGGGGGTTTTGGTGGTTTCCACACCAATCACAAACGCAGCTTTTCCATCTTCGCTTCAGACTGTGCATATCTAGTTTGCTCTAGGTCGATGCTGTCATCAGCCCGTCTTCGCCCGTTTGATTCAAGATGGCTTTTTCGAGGTTGCCTTCCGCTTGCTTACCCCGACCTAGCTGACTCTTCCTGGCCAGCCCCTCCTCACGAAAATCTCGTTACGACTTCAACAACGTGGGATGCGGGTGGGAACGCGTGAAATAGCTTCCCTCTACTGCACGACACCATCCATCGACAGTTTGACACCCTTGTCCCCCGTTGAACCGCGTGTGGCACACCACCATCAACCGTCCGAAAAGGGCTCGTCGTCCGGGAGCCACCGTGCTATCTAGCCACCCAGCCAACTCAATTCTGACGTCTCACTCGGGAGGCATGTCTGGCATTCTTAGGGTCTCACTACGGAAGCGGGAGCAGCAGCATTAGATTCCACAAAAAAGAGATTTTCCCCCCTCCCCCTCCCTTACCGTCACAAGCCACTGATCATCACTTAAACCTTTTCAGAAGCGCGCGGCATGACGGCTAAGCTAAGAAATGCGAGGACGGGACGGGAGGCAGAAGCCGGCAGCTGTCTCAAGTACGTTATCAAGGAAAGAGATATGAGGGAATATCATTGCGGCCATGACAAGCTTTTGCTTTCGAAATACCCAAGCTGTCATTGTGCATTCACTAAGAAACATTTCCGGCTTCCCCGTCATGCCGCGGTGAAGGTGTTAGTAATGTGACTGGGCGGTTCGCCGCGCGCGACCATTAGAACGCGCTTGACCGTCCGCTTCAATCCTTCCAGTTGACAGGCACGGTAACTTGAGAAGACTTGGTAACTTTCTCAATACCAATGCTAGAAAGTTTCCAACAATGAGGCATGAGCGAGTGTATCATCACTCATCTCAGTAGTCGGGCATCACTTGACTCATCGCAAAGGGGCCAAGCTCAAGCGCAGCACTTACGATAACCTCGCTAGGTAAGATGTCGCTGAATCGATCACCTTTCGTGATGGGAACGTTTACCATGGGAGATAAACTCGGTGTGACATATGCGGCTCAAGATGAAAGGGCTGGAAGGGCCGTGAGTCTCGGGTAGAAAATATGATCAATCACGGACAAACGAGTCAGCGGCTTCCCCTGGCTCAAACGACGAGATCCAATCGGAAGATGCCTCTCGACGCCTCAAGGAGCTAGCATGGTGCCTGGCAGATGTTATCAAAGTCTCAGTTTTGTGAAACTATAGCTTTGGATAGGTTGCATAAGCTGCTCTATCCTGCAGTAGTCAGCGCAGCTAAGGTCAAGTCTATGGAACTACAAACGTAAGCGAGCGAACAAAAGCCTCGTCGTGACTAAGTGGAAATCGGGTTTGAAGAAAGTAAACAATTTTCAAGCTGCATCAACTGGCAGAAGAAAGCGATAGAACGATAGTATGGCTGAAATGGAAACACGACTCTCACATTCCCTTTGAGAGTTTTATTTGATGCTCCAGCCACGCAGCTCTATAACGCAGGGAGGAACGACTTGATAATTCAGAAGTAGACTAATGCAATTGAAGGCATCATATGTTCTAATATTCTCATGATTTTGTTAGGGCGATAATTGATGCAAAAAACCTTAGAGAGAGTCAAGAGGCCTTCGAGGAAATATTTACGGACATTTTTTGGTGCTGAGCAGGTTCGAATGAGACGAATCTGATCATATAAGTGATACCAGCTACCATAACATTTGGAGTCTTCGTTCCCTCTTTTTAGGCCGAAGGCTGAAGGCCTTTCTCGTCATTGATTCGGCTGTTTTCTAAATAAATTCGTAACCTTTGACTGACATGGACGCTGAATTTGGTATCTTGGTAAACATCTTCCACGTGAGATTGTACGACGCTGGTTTCGTGAGAGGGTGAGTATTGTATGACGCAGGTCGACTTGAGGCCAATTAAGATCAACACAACAGCTTCAGTCGGCGTAAGCATGGGTTGAGCGATATCTGATGCTACCTTAATCGGATGGAGATTGTACTGGCTATCTCTTGTCTACTAGATGCAGTACTCCTCGCTCTCACGACATCTTAGAGTAGTAAAAGTGAGCACGGAATCACTGACTATATTCACCCAGCTCTTGATATCCCTCGGTGGCTCGTGACAATGTGCCTCTTCCGCTATCACTTGATATCCTTCTCGACTTGCTCGTATGATTCACCAATTACCGGTTTCAGTAGCTCTGGCAGGACGACTGTCGCATCGCCAACGAACACCCAGTCCTTATCTGGCCGAATATGTCTGGCGTCCTCAGCTCGCGTGTTGATAACAGCAACTCTCGCACCCTTCTTGCGAGCCATCTCGGCATACCCAGCCGCCGGCCAGACCTTGCTGGTGGTTCCAATCGTCAGAAACAAGTCGATGGGCCCGGGGTCATCGAAAAGCGCCTGGGCCTCTTCAACAACCTCAACGGGCAGTGGCTCGCCGAACCAGACGACGGCGGGGCGGAGGATGTTGTTCTTGCACTTGGAGCATTGCGGCAGGTCCTTTTTCTCTAACCCCGACGACAGCCGGACACCGGCGACGGGGTTCGATGGCGTTGGTTGATCCGGAGCTTTCAGAGCGGTCAGATCCCGTGTGGCCGGAGAATTGCCCTCGTACTTCTCCCCGAGGATTTGTGCGTGTTTCCGCGCGATGCCGGCCAACAGCACTGGGCTGGCGCGAGGCTTGTTGTTCGGGTCAATGCTGCCAATGGTCCTCTCCTCGTCCTTTGAGGGATCGAGTGCTGGCGACAGAGATTCCTCAAAGTTGTCACGCTCAGTGTACCCACACCCGATCACGTCGACGCAAGACAGCGCAAAAAGGTTTCCGTGGAGCTCCTTCAGCTGGCTGGGCGGATGATTAGCCCGAGGGCTCAAATTATCAACGTTTTGCGTCAACGCGACGAAACCAGGTACTTTGCGCGCGAGCTCGGCAAGAGCATAGTGAGCAGGGTTCGGCTTGGCACGAAGAGCATCATGTCTGCGATATGTATAGAATTGCCAGACAAGACCCGGGTCATGACGGAAGCCTGCAGGCGAAGCGACCTGCGTTATGTCCTGGTTCCTCCACAGTCCGTTTGCTCCTCGGAAGGTGGCCAGACCCGAGGATACGGAAAGGCCTGCGCCGATGAGAGCAACGATACGCTTTGACTCCTTGAGCGTGTCGTGGAAATCGGCGACCGCAACAGGGTCTAGTTTGGGCAGGGAAGTATTTAAGTCAGCCATCGAAGCTTTGCGTAGAAATAATACAGGGGTGCTCGGATTGTGATATGATAGCTTGATGTTTGGAGGGGTCAAGAGGGAAATTGGCTTCTTCAAATATTCCCCGAGTTGTTGTTGGTTGCCTAGAGAAAATGCGGCAAGGCGATAAATCTGACACGGCTTCCTGGATCCCAAAACTAACGCAGCCAAGCAACCAGCAAAGAGATGACAATTTACATCAGTCTCCCTTTGGAAATTCCCATGGTCGTTGGAAATAACATTCATACATACATACATAGTTTATTACGCCCCGGCTAAGCTGTTTAGGGCTCGCATGATTATCTACATATTCTCCACATTCGTTCATATCCTTGCCTCCCAGAAGCCCATACAAGTCTTGTTCGTCTCCGTATGTGTCTTTTTTAGTTTTGCATGTCGATGCTGCGGTTGCTCGTGGGGTTAGTAGCAGGCCATCTCGGAGTTGTTTCTCAAAGTGTTCGACGTCCTATCGTCGGCGGCCGAAGCTAGTCCTGCTGTCGATGGCACGAGGATGCGTGGGGGTGTCTCCGGTTAATTTGATGATGTTAGTTGCGTGTGGTTTCGCTGCTGGCTGATCTGTGCATCTAGCCTCTCCGTGCTCATGGCGAACTTGATCGTCTCTTTGACAACGTCTACGCTTGGCGACCAATCCTTAGGGTCGGACGCGCGCTTTCCTCCCAGGAAGTATGACAGATTTCCTCTCCGCGTTTCCGTCTGTTGGAGCATCCGAGTCCGCTGTGCCGTCCACTGTGTGCATCGAAAGAGAAAATGCTCTACCGTTTCTGCAGATTGCCCGCAAGCGCATAGCGCCGCGGCGGTTGCGCCGATCTGGTAGAGGTACCAGTTCAGCCTTGCCATTCCGGTGCGTAGTTGCGCTAGAATGCTGGCTTCTTTCCAGGCCAGTCCGTCATACAGCTTGCGTGTGTGGTTTCCCGGCAGGGCTATGTCGATCTTCTTCGAATATGCTCCTACGTTGTCGGGCAAGGCTCCGTGCTTCTGTCGCACGCTCTGTAAAGCGATCCTAAGTGCCGTCGAGTAGGCTCTGGCCGGCCGTTTTTGTGGTGTCTTGTTTACTTGGGTACTTTCCTTTGCTGCTGCTTTGGCCGCTTGCGCCAGGTCTGACTCTATCGATGATGGAAGCCAGAAGAGAGTGACTCTGTTGCCTCGTCTCTGCAGAGCTTGCACGCTGGCATATAGTTGTCGGATCTCTTGTTGGCCTGACTGCTGCCGCGGGTTGTGCATCACCAACACTGCCGCTTTGTTGCGGGTGAAGACGTGGATGGCCCGGTACTCGAGTCTCTCTGGGAGAGACTTGACCGCTTCTGCCAGTGCCGCTAGCTCTGCTACATACGGGTTCTGCTCCGTTCTCTGACCGAACGTACGCGAGGCCGTCACGACGCCACCGCCCCCTCTGAAAGATGCGGGCAGCGTCGTCGCCGTTCCAAAGCCCACAACCTCGTTCCTTGCTGAGCTCCCTGTCGCTATCCTCACTGCCCATCCAGACCGGATTGCCTCAGAGGCCTTGACCGTGTCGTCGTCGACTACTGTATCAATACGACGTTCCCAAGGAGCGATCGAATACCCTTCGATAGTCTCCAGCTTGTCAAGGGGTAGGTCGCGATAGGCCTCCGCCATCAACTGGAAGGGTGACGGAAACCGTCTAAAGGCCACCGCCCGCAGACGTCGAAGCGGATGGGTCTTGGGAAGGCTTCGCAGCCGTACCCAGAATGTCGTTGATTTTCTGTCGTACCTCTCTTGCGCCGATTGTATGCTTGCCTCCGCTTCAGCGACCGCCGTGGCCACCGTGTTGAAGGTTCCCACGATCGCTTGGGCGCCAATCCTCTGCACTCGGTTGATCACCCTCATCTGCGCTGCTCGACACCTGTACCTCCAGACGTTCGACGCGTAGTCCATCGTCGGTGCTACGGCCGCCACGAAAAGCTGTCTGGCCGTCGCCGGAGACAGGCCTTTGAGCCGTTTGAGCCCCAGCACGGCCTCCAGCCCTTTTGTCGTCGCGTCTGCGATGTGCTTTTCGAAACGGAGTTTCGTGTCCATCATCACTCCCAATACTTTGACGTGGTCCTTTGCTCGGACAGTGTCACCTTTGATGACGAAGCTGGTTGAGTCCGCCGGCAGCCTCCAGTTGCGCGTGAAGTGGATGATGGCCGTCTTGTCCGTCTCGAACGTCGCCCCGCTTCGTCGTTCCCACGCGAGTGCTCGATCGATAATATCTTGGATGCCCTGACGGTTTGCTTCGCGCGATCGGCCTGTGACCCACGCCGTGTAGTCATCGACGAAGGCCAGCGCGCCCCCGTTCTCGTCGATTTGGTGCTGTACGAGATCGGCGTTGAAGAAGAGGAAGAGCACGGGCGAAAGCGGCGAACCCTGAGGCAGTCCGGCTTGTGGTAGCGGACGAGCCTCGGACTCGTGACCGTTAACCAGGATGCTTGCCGTTCTATGGGAGCAGAAGGCGTCCACCCATCTCACCAGCTTGTCCGGGATCCCCCGCGCTCTGAGTCTTTGAAGTAGTCTCTCTTTGTACACACCATTGTATGCTCCCTTGACATCGAAGCTGACCAGACTGACCACCTTTCTCTTTCTCCACGCTCTGTAGATGTACTCCTGCAGCAGTACCAGCG